CCATTTGCTGGTCTTAGTAAAAGTAACCACGAATTATTTTTTTGCGCAAAATTTTTTTTTTAAAAAACGTATCTTTTTATTATTATGCGATGTTTATATAAATGTAGCAGAAATTTTTATCAATATTTTTCATCCTTATTTTTTTCATGTATTGTGTTTTCGTTCTGTTTGGTTTTTGATGCGTTTTATTTAAATTTTTTTGAATTTTTTTTTAAGAATAAAATATTGTTTTTGGTTAGTGTTAGTTCAATAATATTGCTGTATTTGTTTATTCAACCCCTGTAATTTGTTTAACTGAACCCGGACTCTCCCTTCCGCTTTACAGTTGTTCGGTTTCTGTTGTGTGCGGCGTGTTCGTAATGGGCAAGGAGAAGACTCATATCAATCTTATCGTTATTGGACATGTTGACTCCGGAAAGTCAACTTCCACTGGACACCTTATTTACAAATGCGGAGGAATTGACAAGAGGACCATTGAGAAGTTCGAAAAGGAGGCGGCTGAGGTACTTAATTTGGTCATATAATGTCGCTTGTTTAGATCGGAAAATCGTCCTTCAAATATGCCTGGGTCCTGGATAAGCTGAAGGCGGAACGTGAACGCGGTATAACTATTGATATCGCTTTGTGGAAGTTTGAAACGCCGAGGTACCTTGTAACAATCATTGACGCTCCTGGACATCGCGATTTCATCAAGAATATGATCACTGGCACTAGTCAGGCAGATTGCGCCATTCTTGTCGTCGCGGCTGGTGTCGGTGAATTCGAGGCCGGAATAAGCAAGAATGGTCAGACTCGGGAGCACGCACTGCTGGCCTTCACTCTCGGCGTCAAAAAATTGATTATTGCCGTAAACAAAATGGACGCAGTGGACTACAGTGAGAAGCGTTTCCAGGAGATCAGTTCCGAGATGAAGGCGTATATTAAGAAGGTGGGCTACAATCCAGATACCGTCAACATCGTGCCCATCTCTGGCTGGGTTGGTGACAACATGCTGGAGCCGAGTTCGAACATGCCTTGGTACAAGGGACCAACCCTTTTAGCTAGCATTGACCTTATTGAGCCGCCGGTTCGCCCTGTTGAAAAGCCTCTTCGTATTCCTCTTCAGGTAAAAGTATTGGTTAATCTGACTGTTTCTTAGGACGTGTACAAGATTGGCGGCATTGGTACGGTCCCTGTGGGTCGTGTGGAAACGGGTGTATTGAAGCCAGGAATGGTTGTTACCTTTGCGCCTGTGGGAATATCCACTGAGGTCAAATCCGTTGAAATGCATCACGAAGCGCTCCAGGAGGCTGTGCCCGGTGACAATGTCGGCTTCAACGTTAAGAACGTATCGGTCAAGGATATTCGTCGCGGATACGTTGCTGGTGATTCGAAGAACAATCCGCCACGAGAGGCAGCCGACTTTGTTGCTCAGGTCATTGTTCTAAACCATCCCGGTGAGATTGGTGCAGGGTACTGTCCCGTTCTCGACTGCCATACTGCGCATATCTCGTGCAAATTCGCTGAGCTCCGCGAAAAGATTGATCGTCGTACCGGTCAGGTTAAGGAACAAAACCCTCAAAAGATCAAGTCCGGCGACGCTGCAATTGTTTTCATGGTTCCTAGTAAGCCCATGTGCGTCGAGGTCTTCTCGGAATTTCCACCGCTTGGACGCTTCGCTGTTCGTGACATGAGGTCGACGGTGGCGGTTGGTGTCATTAAGTCAGTAACCTTCAAAGACAAGGAAGCGAAGGCCACCAAGTCTGCCCAAAAAGCTGCTAAAGCGAAGAAGTAATTTTTATATCGATCAATAAATCATTGTTTGGAGTCCGTTTTGTGGTTGATTTGGGTTTTGGTTTGGTAACGTAGGCGGGGGTGGGGTTTCGCTCCGGCGATGGCTGCGTTGTTACAGACCAAGTTGGAGTATTGCGGTATGTACGCTGTAAACGTTATGTCCTAACTCGTTGCCTCGTTCCGCGTCGGTAGCTTGGTACTTGTGGACGGAGTTCGTGCGTATCGCCATTTGTGACGTGTGTCAAGATCGCTTTAGTACACTTACAGATTTGCCCTTTGCTAAGCACTTTATGAATTTAATGAGCTCAACAGGTGTCGAGAAATGGCTGATCTGTCATGTTAGTGAATCGGTCCGCAATGGTGCTGTTTATTTGTTCCTATTGCACATAATACCGCCCATGGCTACACGTTATCCAAAAAGTGATGTCGATGTACATGTGATGAGTTGTGCATTTAAGTTTTAGTCCCGCGCAACATGTTTGCAGACCAGATTGCTGCAAAGGCTTAAGCATCGTTGTGCTTGGTTTTCACTCCCGAAACATCTGAACTTTCTTGTTCACGAAGGCTGAAACGCTACGTCCACGGTCATGGTTCGCACATGCGCCGCTTGTGATTGCGCTATATCTGACAGGCGGTCGCATTGGACGCACAAGCATTCGCATGCACACCCGTGCACCACGCCGTCCGTTTTAACTCCGCGTGGCATTCACGCGTGAGTAATTTTTTGGCAAACCAATGTAGAGCGCAATACGACTGTGTGCTAGAAGTTGGTAAGTTGCTAAAATGAAATACTTGTAACTGATCAACTTGTAGTCCCTGGGAATTGAGTAGACTCACTAAGAATGGTTCTGTTTCCCTCTTGCAAACACGCCATCAGCGTTTCTCTAGGTGTGTGCCGTGGAACTCCAAGGTTTTGTTTAAAATCCTACAATTCCTTTCTATTTTCTGGGTATGAGCACCTGCATTCGGATCACTGTCTTCGCTCAGGTAATTTACGGTTTTGTGATTAAGTTACCGATAATCTGGCCCTTCATCGGGATGTATTGTTGAACTTGGTTCCATTTTGCATTTAGTGGCAGGAGTCGACATCAAAATCCTGACGCAATCCGAAGGTCCATGTTCAGTCAGTGCGCGAATCGTGTTCCCGGTAGTTCTGCAATGGATCGCCATCGTTTTGTTTTGCATGTGCATCTGCTTAAAAACAGTGACGACTGTACTTATGGCGCCCAACAACTCTGGCACTGTCAATTTGATTTAATTTTTGCGTACTCCGTTGAGGTCTATTCTGCAATTAACATATAACTATTCGAGGCCAGTTTCTTGGCAGTTATCGAAGCACACAACTACAATATTTCAGAATTTACTAGTAAGCTTTGACCCTTCTAGTGGCAGGCCATTGCTCGAGAGATAAACAAGCTCCAGAATTTTCCAGAGACTGCAACTACAGTGGAGTTTTCCTTTCCACTTTAAAAGATGGAAGACTTCGTTCCCATTTCTCACAGGTCGAACCGACTGACAGCCTCCTTTTCTGCACCCACATTGCGGCACATGCCGTCCTCTTAATTTCTTCTAAACATCACCGGCAATAGTTTGTCTTGACTAAGAGGCAAGCATGATGGAGACGATATAGTGGCACCACTCTACTGTACACCATTTCTGTTTGAACCTCTCGTAAGAACATTTCGATGGGCATGCTGAAGTAGAAAAAAATGAAGACAGGCATCACGTTATTGAATGTACTGACAGTATTTCAGGTTATTACCATATTACCACAATTAGCAATTGGAAATTATTAGACCTCAGTGTAAGTAGATCTCTTCGTCATTACCTAGAGGGAAAGTGGTAGAATGTGCAGACAGAATCGAATGCAATGTTATTATGAAAGGAAAGACAAAGCTGTCAATATTGCAGCCGCGTTAACTTTTACTTACTGAAAACCATAGTATATCTGTAATGTAAAATAATCGGCATTCAAATAACATAGCCTGAATAATGTAGAGTAAATCGTAAGCGCATTCAACGGCGCCTAAAGTTAAGGTTCCCTGATTGATGGTGGTAAGTGGCCTGGTGTGTTACTCACATATGTTCCAATAAACGAAAATGCGAGAGTGCTCAACCGCAACATAATGTGCAGAGATTTTCCTGTGTGATCTCCCTTATTTTGTTGACTTTTGTCTTTTTTACAGTGGGAACTTTATCACCAGGCTCATTCCCATCACGGAGAAATAGGAAAAAAGTGCACAGTATAAGTCATCGAAAATTATAATTTGAATTAATGACTAGGTTTTATGAAACGAACGAAGAGATAATACCAAATTTACGTAATGAGATTTAGTCGCGACCGAATACCACAGGAGCCCGAAATGTTGTTCTTTAAAAATTCCCTTGCCTAAACCGAAAGGTTGGACCTTATATATCAAAATAGAAGTCTTATAAATGCAAAAAATTAAGTTTGAATAATTCTAGGTGATAGTGATATTAACCCGACATGTAGAATTTAAAATGTCAGAAATAGTGCTGAGAAGTTTATTTTAGTCCTGTTCACCTTATAGAAATAACCCACCACAGACAGTTTCATTGGACTCAAAACGCTTCGGAACTTGATAACGCAGCTCTAATTAGGGATCTGACGGACCGTAACACCCATCCACTCTGGCAGGTACGCCCACTAACCCGATCGCTACGGTGCTTGGGCGAATAAAATCGATAATCTCAGCCTTTCGTTTAAAAGTTTAATTGCGGGTTCCCAAATGAAAATAGACCTTCGTTTTCAACAAGTCATTACGTCGCACAAGAGCCAATCCAACTGATAAGGTGAGAGCTGTTGGAAGGTCTGTTAAGTCACGTCTACGGAGATAACATGGTGAAAATAAGCGGATCAGTTGATTTATCTCTTAACCTACATTCCCCTTCTTTTCGCATAGTTCTTAATCTTTCACTATAACTCGTGTTTGTCGTTTAGACTGATTCCACCACTATTACTTTCATACATTTTACTTTAATCTTGATTCGTGCTAGTTATCCATAGAAGAATTTATGCAAGCGACAAATACACGGTTTGGGTCTTCTTATTATTCCATAGATATTTTGTGTGCTATCGTTACTCGGCACAGCCAAGCATGATCCTGCAACACAAACAGGTAGGAATGCATACTTTAGAACCATAATATAGGCAGCATATTTCCAAAGTAGGCAATTCTCAATTTTCGAGAATCCTTGCACCAGGCGATCGTGACCCAACGACATAACGCAAAGAATTATTTCCCATCCATATTAGATAGATTAGATGCGGTGGAAATGGAGTTGCTATTAATGTGGAAACATGGTGATGTTCGATGTCACCACACTCCATTTAGTGTCAATGCGCAAAAAACCTGTTGAGATCAACTATAAGTCTTGTCATTAGTTTTACCAACTAAATAATACATCGAAGAGATGACAAAACCATGTATTACAAGCGACCGTTTAGTCACCTTGGAGGAATATATAGTACTGTAGTCTAACAATTGGGATAAGTGCAAATCGGGGGAATCGTGGTTGGTTGGAAAAGTAAGTGAACCTGCAAGCTGGTGGCAACTCAGCCTTTACAAACACATGGCCTAAGGGCACGCGGTAAGACGCATGGAGTTTGTAACTCGATTCCTAGTGTCCCTGCGTTGAAATCTGAGCGCCAACAGAGATGCGTGAATGCTTCAGAAGAGGGACATTTTTGGATTGGCACAAAATTTAGCATGTTAGGCAATTATCAGGTCATCTTTTTTCACCTCTAGTAAATACCTGAATGTTAGGTATTTATTTGACATTTGGCTGGATACTTATTAGTTCATCGCATAACCTCAGTGCACACTAAAGTCACATATCGTGTCTGGCTGATGAATAAAAGGCCATCTTTTCACAATATTCTCTGTTCTTTGAGAAGATGGGTGTAATGTAGTTGAACATCAGCTACGGGCTTTTGTCACAGACCCACAGGAATACTTGGGCTATGCTATCAGTGTGATGCAAATATCCTCTTCGAGTAAATTAGGTAATTCTTGAAGGGATCATTCAATATCCTCCTCGGGTTCGGAATCTGAGAGGCAGCTGATTCTGTGTATTTCGTCCTATAACCTTCTGTTTTACTTCAGCTTTACCCGATTAAGAAAGCTAAACTTAATTCCTGTATATTGAGGAAAGATGGAAGGTTATAAACATCAAATAGGTCATAGGCACCTTGTATTAATGGTCTCAAGCGATTACTCTAGAACTGTTACATGTTAAACAGCAACGGATTCATTCTTTCCTTGTGATTTTTGTCTAAGGTGTTCTGGCCCGTTGTTTTACGCGATTCACGCATGACTTACTAAATTCATTTGTTTGCAACGCAAATTCGAGACTTACGTAAAACTGCAACACTAAAAAACCGCATTACAATTTACTAAACTCGGTTTCAATGTAAGTCAAAATGAACACATTAGGGACGAGTGGAGAATAAAAGAAAAGCCCATTCACCAATGTGAAAGACAGCGAATCCGAGATCCTGATGCGTCACGTAACTAAAATAGGTAAAAGTAGCATAGAGGTGTTGAAGGTAGAAAAAAATTATGCTTAGGTTCCCTGATCGTTCACTGTTTAAAATGAAAATATTCGGCCTTGTGATGTAGAAATTCACTTCCTGATCCACCACCTTGGCTCGTTATACCAAAATGCAAGAATTATAGATTAAAATAAGGTATTTTGTTTGAAATTCCTTTAGAAAATTGTGCAATTTATATTACTTTGGTAGTATTGATAAGAAACCCAGTGATTACTGCACAGCAAAGAACTGTAAAATGTAGCAAGAGGCAGCTGTTCTCAAGACAACTAGTGGTGGTCGTTGATAAATTGACAGTGAGTCCTTCCTTTTGAGTTTGCCATATTTACTCTTTAAGTGATCAAGAACAGAACTGATGAATGGCACAAATTTTCGGCACTTTTTTGCAACTTAATAGCTGTTATTTTTCTGACTGCCGGGGAGCTGTTAGCTAGTTTGTACCTCATTGGTACCAATAGGTACTTTTCATGCGATTCCAAAATGCAGTGAAGTAACTAAATAAAATACTTGCGGTGTTTAATTACTTCAGCTACACTAAACTAACCCGCTACAAAATTAGGCCAAGAAGACTGTTTACACAAATCGTTTTTTGCAAATTTGTGGACGCTGTTAACCCGCAACAGGAATTAAAACCTCAACGAAACCACCAGCACAGTTTTGTGCACAGAGTACAGCGTCGTTGGAATGTAAGTTTTCCTAGCAAAATCCTTTGAAATACTTCGAATCAACCAACTCGTCCGTGATTAGTTACCCGCACATTTTTACAACAAAAATGTTAGATCACACCTCCAATTTATCGCAACACCTTAAATCTGTCTTAGCAAGCAAATAGGTATAAAATTTCATGAATCGAATAATTTGCCAGACTATATTTACCGTCAAACTTTCTCAACCAAGTCACGTTATCACACCTACCCCTTGACTTGATACCCTCAATTTTTTTCAACATCACACATCAATTTTTTCACACACACCTATTCTTCGTTATAATACCGCCGATTTTTCTGAACAAAGACACGAAATAACCCCCTACTGGTACGTGTGAAACGGGACAATTTTTTAAGCCGATAACTTTGAAACATCCTGATTGAAATGAAATGCCTGACTATGCCAACGCTCAGGTTGTCTTAACAACTAAACTGAATTGCTAGTCAAGATAAACTCAGACTGAACTGTCGATGCGACGACTCAGTGACTCACCTACCGAAGTCGCGGCCCACGACGCAGTGCCAGAGGGGACCGTACTTCGCGTCGAAGTGCCGCTTCACGTACGCGGCGACGTCTTTGCGTGTTGCGCTTTGTCTGAGTGCCTCGTCGGCGCACACCACGGCGTAGTTGAGCATCTCATCAGACATGCAGAAGCACTTGACTACCACCTGTAAACTGTCATTCTGAGTCCCTGATTTAGGCAGCAAGAGTTGCAATGAGCTTCTCTTTGAATCATCGTTAGTTCCAACTTTTTTGCCTATCTTCATTGCCGGCTGGTGCTGCTTCTTATGGTGTTCTTGTTTATGCGGGCGCTTTTGATGTGCAAAGTTACCTGCACTTCGCACCTTACCATTTTTCCTCATCGTGATTGGAGCTTCAACGTTGCTTTTCTACTCAGTGAGTATGCATTTGAGGACGCTTTGCACTTCCAAGAACGCTTGCACCCTTTTATAAAGGTGCATCACCACAGACAACACGAAACCATAAATAATAAGGAATCGGATAGTTCAAATAGCAGTCCCAATTAGGCGTCAAGTGGTTACCCCAATAAGGGATCAATAATCATTTTAGGTGAATCTAGCATTACCTAGGTATAGAATTTGGCGTTACTAGGTGCAATGATAGGCTAAGGTTATACTCGGATGTAAAGAATTAGTAAAATTGACTGCTTAGATTTGATTTTTTCTCTTAGTACGAGAGCTAAAATATATCTTCGGGGGGGGGGGGACTAATCAAAGAAATATCTTCCATGTCATAAATAGCATTTGCAGGTTTCACCAGGTAGGAGGTCCAAAGTGCGTTTCTAGCTCTTACGGATGTGAAGAATAAAGTGATTTTTTTTGTATGAAATAAAGTTTCGTCTTTCGTGACAACTGAATTTTAGTCTTGATTTATGATTTGTTTTACTTTAATGGTCCCGTTGGAAGACTACTCGTAAAATCCACTAGCATTGCATGTCCCGGTTTAAAATATAAATTTACTACTTGACATTTGCTGTTTACTTTTATGTTGTCTTAATATTTAATATTTGGGAGAATCGGCATAAAACGTTCAACGTCCCAAACGGCTTTTGTTGTTCTTCGATTTCGGCAAGTTTGTCTGTTAGTGTCTAGCTGCCGTTATTTACATCTTCAACAAATGTCCCGTAATGTCCCCTCATAATTTGTTTACATTGCCATGAATCACGTTGATTCACATTCGCTAAACCGGTCACTCTGGCATCCAACACTCGTATGTGTGCACGATGTGGTTTAGAGCTTCTGGGTGATGTTGAAATCGTGCAGAAGTGTTTTGCATGCCTTCAACGATAACTGTCGCAACGAAAACCGCTTACTCATCGTTCAATGAATCGGCAGCCAGACGGACGCGTCCTCAGTCGGAAATTAGAGCTGTGCCTACATTAGTCTAATGCGACACTGCACACCAAACATTTGTTTGGGCCTACAACCACAGTCTGACGGACTTTATTCAAAGCTTTTTTTTGCTTTTTTGAAGTACACTGATACGTACATCATCACCCCAGGAGTGAACAGTGCATTTTCGGATCTTCCGTATTAAAATGAGATTTTTCCAGTTTTTATATTTAAACGCTTCCTTAAACTGAAGTCAGTGACAGCAAGAACGCGTAAATCTGACAGACACAGTCAAATACTCATTGCACTGTGATTGCCATACAGTAGGGAAAGGAGTAACTTCATCGCGGAAGTAGCATCTTAGCGCAAAAAATCACATGACAGTTTACTTCATCTTTTTGAATGGAAAAGGACCTTTGTAGACGAAATAATTCAGTAGGTCAGAGGAGGCTTACAGCGATGCGAAATGAGAAAAGTAGCCCAGCTGTTCTGGAACACACCAGTAGATATCAAGTACATCATTCTTTCGAACGAAAACAACAACAAAACTACAGTTGTATTAAAATCGCCAATTACGGTAAAGGGAAATAAAAGTTGACACAAAATTACTATATTTACACAAAACCCCAAAGACAAGTGAAGTATTAAAATTGACAAGCGAAACGCGATAGAACGGTAGTACAGCCGCGTGAATTGACAGAAAACAAGGGAGCATGAACGCAGGGTCGCCTCCTCGATGGTGACATGAGGTATAAAAATGGAATTAGCACATTCGTTTCCGACGGCCGATGTTACAGGTCTGTTCGCGGAGTTGCTACAACAAGTAAAACGGTTTATTAGGTCAGCAAAATGGGGCATGTAATAGTGTTCTTGACAAACAAAATGTTGGGCACATTGAGACTTGATTTAATATTTTGGCCAGATTGTACAGACACGTCAGTAGTGACATTTGTGGCTGCTGGGACACGGGACCGACACTCCAGTTATATCAACGTGAACCCAAATGTTAAACTTGGGCATACTTATTAAGGTATGGTCGTATTTTAACTGTCACGAATACTAGCGGCTGCGAAAATGGCTGAAAACAAGCATCCGACTCGTCACAACATGAGGAAAAGAAACTGGACGAAAGTTCATTCTCTGCTGACATCGGTCACAGACACCTACCTATTGGATTTAAAACACACATGGGCTCGCCTTAGCATACACATGCACACGAAGGTGGACCAGAGCGATGGGAAGGCGACCATTGATCAAACATGAAAGGAGTTTGAAAGGGGTGGATGAGGGTGAGAAAGCGGTGACAATAAAAATGAATTCAGACGACCAAGTTGACTACGGTTAGCACTTTTGTTAAAAGAAACAATGACTACAACCACACACAGGATTTCATTTTCTGCGGTTATATCACTAAATTACACTCAATTAGCACCTAAAGAACAACTCCCCATGCGTGAGGCTTACTGCGCGCATGGTACACCCAGCACCCGATGGTGAGAAAGAGTGAGGTTTCAGTGAGCGAAGTCAAGAGAGCCCCCAGCGCCTGTCAGTGTCGCAATCAACACTTCACCACTCTACGTCCCCTTCCTGATGCTTCCTAGTAGCCCTGGTGCCTACCGATTGTCAGGCCCCGTATAGTCGTTTCACTTGGCAGGCGCGTCCCCCATCGTCAGCCACTTTTTAATTGCTCACTCCGGCAAAATGACCGCCCGGCGTGGGTGCCGCGAGTCTGACCAATCACTTGAACGTGCTTCACACCGCCGTGGGCGCATTACTAACTGACGCTTGTCATTTCAAAAAGCAACACGTCTATTGCCTCGCTGACCGTGTCCATTTAGGCGGTGAAAAGGGTGACCAAGCGAAAAATCACTTACCTTTGGAATCTGGAGTGGGCGCGGTAGTCGTAGTTGATGACTGCTCTAAAGCAAATTGGGCAGAGGCATTACAATGAAGCCATTTTTGCAGGCATATCGCACATTAAGATAACGAGTTTGTGAACTTGGTATTTGGGTTCACTAGGCTTTTTTTGCAATTCGGAAAGCACAGAAGGCGATGGAAGAAGTGTACCGCAAGTGAAAGCACGACTTGAAGCAAGTTTTGAGACAGAAGGGATCACCGCTTATTGCGCACTGGGTCCATCCATTAATGAAAAGGCTAAGACGAATGGCGTAATCGCATATGCAAGACGCTAAATGCGCTAAGTTACATTGTGGGAAAGAAGAAACTAGTAGAAATAAAAGTCTGGGGGAAGGCCCGGTAACGAACGGAAATGAAAGTGGATTTAGAGTAACCTGTGGGTTCATACTGATGCACCCTCGCATTTGTGTACGTGAACAAGATGAGGGAATGCCAAGAAGTTGACCACGGGGACTTGAGCACATCACGCACGCACACACACACGTGTGAGCATTTTATCTCGGTTGATAGGTGTCAACTGCTTACAAACAAATGCTAAATACCAATATATTCAGCATTTTATTTAAACAGTTTGATGAGTATACAGTGGCACTAATAACACACACTGTCTTCAAATTGTATTAAAATATCAAGGTCGGCATACAACACCCAAAACGTGTGCGCGTGCCGTTTGCGTAAGTAAGTGAATCGATGGCTGACCTTGGCTTGATGTTCTCATTTTACGGTTAAAGGATATTTTGGATATAGTTACTATTTATTTCCCTCAATGGAAATATGTGTGTCAATTGCCGCGGTGGTCGGAGTGGTCTCAAGGCCACCATTCAATTGATGGTTCTACTGTCAATTCGTGGGGCCAAAACGCTTCCATAGACTAATAACTTGTTTCCTTTTCTCACTAGGCCACATCCGACAACGATGACAGAAGACGCCCTAATGACAGTCTTTTCGAGTACAGCGGCGCTAGGGCCAGGAAAAAAAATTAAATGCTCTTATGAGTACGCGCTCAAATTATGTGGTCCGAGTGCTTAGGTAAAATGTCTTCACGCGATTCGAAAAAATCTTCCCATTTTGAAGGCCTTTACTTGGTCTAGGACTGTGTTGTTTGCCCTAAACACAATCGCCACCAACTATGCAAAAGTGGTTTTACGCTTGCCAGTAACCAAAACACACGTCCAGAAAACCAAAACAACGATCCCCTGTCCAATCGCAAATTACCCGTTCCAAGGGCAGACACTGCTTCGTGACCTCGCGCCGAGAGGCAGAGTAACGCTCCGGATTGCGCGCTACTTCTACAAGCCTTGCGCACAATTAAGGTGGATAATACATTTAAATGTGAAAGTCTCAGCAGGATGTGGACGGCCTATATGATTGCAAAAAGCTTGTGGATTAACACGCTAAATGAATCAAGTTTCGGAATTGTTAGTTTTATGAATGTACGAGGTCTTGAGGATGCCGATTTCCCCAAAAGGCAGACAGGTGTTTTCATTATTCCATATCCCAAGCGATACGGCATATTTACTCACACTTTATCTCTCCTCATCAGCGTTAGTCATCTGACAACTTTACCACACTGGATGAATTGGGTGATTGTGTAAGTTCGAAGCCGAATCTCAGGGGTGGTGGAAGCATGAAATTTTAACCTCGCCGATGTTTCTTTTATGAAAGTATTGCTAACTGACGGTTATGTAGATGCACCGCGAATAGACATAATCCTAAAAAGGTAAAGTTCATTCATGTGCTTAATTGCTCTTCAAAGTGAAGAATGATGACTTGCGTTTTCACATTGCAATGTCATGTGAGTTTAAGAAAGACGTGAGGGGAGGGCTACATAAGTTGACGTAGATCATACTTCTACTCTTAGGACGGCGAACGAGTGGTTATGTTGATCTATGGACGGTGACTTTAATTTAGCCAACTTCGCTCAAGGTGACCTACCGGCATTGACAATGATTTAATGAGTGATGTCGTGGACAAGAACCCGAAATTATCACAGAAGTGATTGCTGAGAGGCAAGGTGTTGATGGTTTGATTGAACGTCATCATTTAAGGCCATTTGAATACAATTCAAAGTTCAATAATTGAATTCGGCAAGT